ATGAACAGTTTTTAAAGGGTTGGAACCAGCATTAACTGACAAAGAAAAACTTCTAAATCATCATTATAATGTTGAAGTAAAAAAAAAAGGAGGAAAAAGGGGGTGATGGAAGTGCAGATTGAACAAGAGCCTTACATTTCATCCAACACATTCAATGCTGGCTAGAATGTCCCAAAACGGAAACAGGATTACCATAACACAAACCTTCCACTACAGATCGCTGGACACACCTGTGTTCCAAGCCCACCCCCAACCCCCAGTGCTTCCAACACAGCTATTTCCCAGCCTGTTGGGCCTGCCCACGAGGTGGCACATAGATCTCTTTAATCCAATCTTTGTTATGAGGCTGGTATGTCTGGGTAGCGGCTCGGTAAACTATGCAGCTGAGGTCTGCCAGATCATCAGTTAACTCAAACAGCTGGCTGATACCTTATGTAACAGGGGTTGTTGGGATTCATTCTCTTCAGATGTTCTTCATACATCTTACAAACGCCTTCCATGCATTCATGCCCTGGTTCCTAGTCAGCATACGTTCTGCCTTCTGGCCTCTTGGTAGTCTGCAGAGTAAAATGATGCGAGACATCACACCAACCTCTAGCTGCCGCCGACACCGTCACCACACAGGAGCTCAGCCTCAAAGCCGCCAGCAGCCAGCACCCCAGAGGAGCCGCAGGAAGTCGTCTTGAACCTTGTTTCATTGTGACCTGGTATATCATTGCTTGCCCAAGGGGGTGGAGATGGAATATTCTTCCTACCTGTATTGGGGACATTTTAAATGTAATCTGAGGGAGAAGGAAAGATATTGATTTCATGTTGAGAAAAATTATATCTCACCAGACCTGCATTTTTATATTTTGGTACTTCCCAATGCTTCAGAGCACTTAATTGGAAAACTATTTTGAAGTGAACATAGGGTATGGGAACTCTTCTTACAATTTCTGTTTAGAAATCAAGATTTAGATTTAATGTTTCATAAATCTGTACTTGGTATTTTTACCACTTTCTTTGGAAAACAGAGGAAGGCTAGGAGGAGGAAGGTTCTCCTTTTTCTTCTTATTTAACTTTTCACTGTGGAACATTCCAAAAATGTACAACATTGGAAAACAATACTAGAATGCCTGTCCATGTACTCGTCATTCAGTCTCACCCACTCGTAACTACTCTTCGTCCCATGCCTGCCGCTGGATTATTTGTAAGTTTATCCCATTTTGATGATGGATAAGTAAGAGTCTAACCATTCTGGTGTCATTACCTAGTCCAGAATCCAAAACTCCATCCATTTACTAATACTTAGGGAGTGCTTATTTGGTGACAGGTACTAGTCTAGGCTTGGCATATATAGAATGCAAGGTAAACTCCTGGAAAAATTCACATTAGGTACTAGTTTGTTATACAAGGGTATAAGTTCTTATTTCTCTTTAAGACTTTTTAACATCTTTCTATCACATTACCCTCACTTTTTTTCTTTTTTCCCTTTGAATGCCCTGAACTACCTGCTGGTCCTCCTTCCTGCCCCCTTTGCCTTACTGACTTACCTTTACTCTCAAACTGCCTCAGTTCACAACCACACTGGCCTCCTGATATTGTAGAAACATTATTTTTTTGTTCCCATTTCAGAATCTTTGTACTTGATACTGTCTTTGTAACACTCTCCCATCAAATACCAGCGTGACCTATTCCCTGCCTCTGTAAAGTCTTCTGTGCCCTCAGCTGCTTACCAGAGTCTGTCCTGACCTCTAGGTATTTATCCTTAGTCATTTTCTTGACTAGTATATAAGGATCAGGGGTTGAGGGTTTTTCTTGTTCTGTACTAATAATTTAATATACAAGGTTTTTATTTAAAAAATGACATGGTTTGGGAACAATTGACTTTTTGCTTATCAGTTTTGCAGTATACACCAAAATTATTTCCAAGAGGATGCTTACATATTAAATAGATGATTGTTATGGTATTCTTTTCTTCCTGATATGATTAAAATATCATGGCGCCCGGCTGGTGTGGCTCAGGGGATTGAGCGTTGTCCCATGGACTGAGAGGTCCCGGTTCTGTTCCTGGTCAGGGCACATGCCTGGATTGCGGGCTCCATCCCCAGTAGGGGGCGTACATCGATGTTTCTGTCTCTCTCCCTTTCTCTCTAAAATAGCAATTTAAAAAAATCACAGGGCTTTGGGTACTGTGCTTTGATGATCACTTGTGTCTTGTGCCACATGCCTGTCAGCTGTAGAACTGCCGATCTGAAGAGCAGTATCAGATCATTGTCACTGCTGCAAGTCTTATGCTAGGATACTCTTCCCCCTTCTGATGCCTGACTGTCGTAGCTGCTATTTCTTTTCTCCCAGTGGGTTACGGTAAGGTGTTTGTGAGTATGTATCCTTTAAAATTTTGTTGCTGTTGTTTTTTTTGGTACGTGCCCCTAGCGGGAACCGATCCTGGGACTCTCTGGTCCACAGGCCGAGGCTCCAACCGTTGAGTCAAACCGGCCAGGGCTCCTTTAAAATCTTGCTGTAGGCTCAACTCTGGCTGCCTCATTTCTATATGTTACATTAAGATTTAGTTCAAGATAACTTTTCCCGGCAAGAAGTCAGTGAGATTGGCGTTCTCAGTCACTGTTAGTGGAAGTGTATAACTCTGGGAATATACATTAGGAAATTTAAATAGGTTCATATCCTTGGACATCATTTTTAGGAATGTAGCCTAAGGAAAATGCTTGAGTAGACGTATATACACACACCTCTGGGTGGTAGACATGATGAGATTATTTTCTGTTTCTCATTCCTTTCTATTTCTTCCACATTTTCTTTAGTTTGTATCTACTTTTCTTTCTCCTTTTCCCCATCTTTTTCTTTTCTCTCTTTCCCTCCAGTCTATTGCTTTATTTCTCTTACTGTTAAAATGATCTATGGAAGTAAAGAGTGTATGGGAAATCTCTGTATCTTCTGCTTAATTTTGCTGTGACTATAAAATTGGTCTAAAAATGATCTATTTTATAATAAAATTGAGCAAATAATAGTATGGGACTTTAAAAAGAAGAGCCTGTGCTCTATTGGGGTACCATTTGATTCATAGTAGAAACTCAGTAAATCGTTGTTGAATTATTTTTTGCCTAAGCAACATTTGCTCTTTGTATGAGAAAGTAGACTCTTTGTATTTTTTTTTTTTTTTTAATCCTCACCCGAGGATATTTTTCCATTTTTTTGTACAGATAGAGTGGGAGGGAGAGAGAGGAAGGGAGAGAGAGAGAGAAACATCGATGTGAAGGGACACATCGAGTGGTTGCCACTCGCATGACCAACCAGGGCCGGGGACAAACTGCAACCGAAGTACGTGCCCTTAGCGGGAACCGAACCGGGGTCTCTCCGAACCGCAGGCCGACGCTCTAACCGCTGAGCAAAACTGGCCAGGGCTAGACTCTTTGTATTTTAAGCCTGTATCCTGCTGCCACCGGCGGAGGGTTTCTTGCTCCACCCACCTGAAGAGAGGAATCAGGAGAGGAGGCGAAACTTTCAGGAGAAGAGGTTTACTGAAAACAAGGTGGAGGGAGCTTGATATATCAAGGGAGCACACATGGCTCCCCAATCTGCTGCTGGGCTGTGGCCTATGCAGCGCTGGCTTCTTCACGCAGTCGCAGAGTAGATTGCTTTGCTTTCCAGGTTCCCAGGAGGATTGGTGTCAACCAGCCCAGGCACAGGGCAGAGCTCTTTGGAGTGTGCCGGAAGAGAAATTTGAACTCGATGTTAAGAAAGATGTTAAAGATGAACTGAAGAGCCTTCCCATCCCTTACAGAAAGGCTAAGCCTGTCTCAAGAAAATGAATTTTTTCCCCACAAATGAAATGTTTCAGGACTTATAAGTGTTTTTTTTTTTAGAATGTATGCCTTTTTGTCCGGCCGATGTGGCTCAGTGGTTGAGTGTTGACCCTATGCACCAAAAGGTTGCCAGTTTGATTCCCGGTCAGGGCACATGCCTGGGTTGTGGGCCAAATCCCCAGTGGGAAGCATGCAGGAGGTGGCCAATTGATGTTATTTCTTATCAATGTTTCTGTCTCTCCCTCTTCTTCCTCTCTCTCTAAAAATCATTTTTAAATATGTCTTCTAATTATATGAAAAACTCTTTTGAAATCATGTTTGACACTTGTTTTAAAGATGTCTTCCTGAATTATAGGAACTGCATTGTATTAATTTTTTATTTTATTTTTTAAAATTTTTTATCCTCACCCGAGGACTTTTTATGATATTTGGTTCAGATAGAGTGAGAGGGAGAGAGAGAGAGAAACATCTACGTGAAAGCGACACATCGAGTGGTTGCCACCCACACGACCCAACCAGGGCTGGGGACAAACTGCAACCAAGGTACGTGCCCTTAGTGGGAACCGAACCCGGGTCTCTCCGGACCGCAGGCCGATGCTCTAACCGCTGAGCCAAACCGGCCAGGGCTGTATTAATTTTTTATTAGAGGTGATCTAAATGTCCCAAATCCTGAACTCTAGGATGTATACTGATGCATGTGTAAGGGAATTGTCCCTGCTTTTAAATGTATGTGTGCTGTTAAGATATAGTTAGTTGTTTATTTCTTTTACAGTGATATATGTCATGACTAAATTCCTGCAGATATTTTTAGTGTGATTTTTTAAAAATTTATTGATTTATTAGAGACAGAAACATTGATTTGTTGTTACACTTATATATACATTCATTGGTTGATTCTTATATGTGCCCTGACCTGGGGTCAAACCCACAACCTTGGCATATCGGGACAATGCTATGATCAACTGAGCTACCGGGCCAGGGCCAAAGTGTACTCTTAATTGAAGATCTTTCTTATTATTAGGAAATTCAGTCTTTTTTGTTGATTAATTATTTGAATTGCTTTTGTGCATTAAATGTCATATTTTATCCTGTAAAGTACCACAGTATCCAGCAGTATCCAGGATGGCTGTGCCCACATTTATGTTTCCATTGCATGGATTCAGGTTGTTGAAATATGTTTTCTTTTTCCTGCAGTGGTTCCCCCTGGAAGTCCTGGGCCCATTACTCGGCACGGGTCCTACGATAGTTTAGCTTCTGACCACAGTGGGCAGGAAGATGAAGAATGGCTTTCTCAGGTAAAACTTTGAAATATTTGGCTTGTAAGATGGAAAGAAAATAGGAATTCATTGTCTGTTTCTATTCTTGCATTTTAAAAATGATTTTCCTTAAAGGAAAATCGACAGAACTGGGACCTCATTTTAGGATTATTAGTAACTAATCAATTGTCTTTCCATATTAAGAATTTCTCATAAATACTGTTGCAGGGATACATACACATATATTTTATACACACACATGTGTGTGTACATTACTTTTCAATCAATGAGCATAAAAATTGCCTGTCTTCCAATTTTTATCTGTTAGGACCTTGGATTTTAGATGGACACTTTGGATTAAAATAAAAATTGGCCTTGTTAAAACAGTGAATCCATTCAGTAATCTTTAGGATTTGTTTTGAGGAGCCAACATTTTCTGAATATTGGGCCCGCGCTTCAATTCGGGCAGACCAGCGTCCTCACCTGCCGCGTTCTCACCTGCGCGCCCTGGGGTGCAGCACTGGGTGTCTCCAAGGCCGCGCAGGGCCGCTGCCGGCGCGCTTTCGAGCCATCCTGAGCCGCTGCAGCAGACCCTGCCTCCCGCCAGGTGAAGCTGTCTTCATCTCAAGGGCTTTGAAATAAAAGATACTTGGGCAGATTTCAAAATGATGAGATTACATGTGACTTCATTACAAATGCTGTTATGTCTGCTTCAAAGCTGACATCATTTGGTGAAGTTAACGACCTGTCTCAGGTTACCAATCCAGTGGCTTTTCAGCAAACAGGTGCCTCCGTGGAGGCCGGTGCCGTCTTACTGCTTTCTCAGGGCGGGGAGCCTGGAAAACCAAGGGAATCTGGACACTGGAGGATCGGATTCCATCTAGGTGACACCTCTCATCACACCTACAATGCCCACAGAAAGCTCCTTGAAGGAGGGTCTGTGCTTCAGTCCCTGGCATGTAGAGGGACATCCTTTCTCGAATATAATACAATAAAGTGAAAGAAGAAGAAGACGACGAAAAAGGCCATTAAACAAACCACTGTCCTTCACTCCGACTTTCCAGTTAGGAAAAGGGGTCATGTGTGCTGTCAGTGTGAACGTCCACACAATATGTTTGTAGTGCGCACAACAGGAGAGTGAATGGGAACATCTGGCCATCGCCTCTGAAATTGCGCAGGCATCTGTTTACCTCTCGGCTCTGCGACACTGATGGTTTGCAGCTCAAAATACACAGAATGCTTTCTCTGTGGCCTAATTTACATTGCTGAATACAGCTACTTGAAGCAGAAATCACTGTCCTACATCTGAGTCGTCTCCCCGTGATTGGTGGGAATGCGAATATTGTTCCAAGACCACGATGCTGTTTTTGCCCTTCAGTCACTTACAGACACGGAGCTGCACTCTGTGAACCTTTTCCGTTATGTTTTGTTAAGAATTAATCACTGCAATCAGAGACATGTGATTAAATATAAAGGAACTCAGGGCAGAGGAAGGCACGTGCAAGTCAGTTTCATAGAGTACGTTCGCAGACATGATGTAGCAATTACTAGACATTGAGACGTAGTCTTTCACCACAGGTTTGCATATTTAGTCTCTCATTCACGTTGCTCATTTGTAAAATTATATAATACGTTTGTTTTCAAGTTTGACCCAGGGTCTTCTACTCTCTGCTGTGTCTGTAACATGTTTCATTTAATATTGGAAGCATTCCCAACCCCCTTCATCGACTAAGCATGAAATTCGTAAAGCATTTCGGTTTTACTGTTCTGCAGCCCTTAAAATACCTGTGTCACTGTTCATGGTCATTGAGAAAACACTCTAAATAAGTAATGGTGTTTCGAAGACAAAATTAGACAACAGAATCCTCTCTAAATTTAAAATGGAATAATGAGGTATTTTGAGGGCAGTATAGTGACTATTATAATATTTGATTTTGGAAATAAATGGGGTTTTGGGTGTTGAAAATTATTTTAGATTTTTTTCCCTTGGATAGTTCAAGAATAACTTCAAGTTTGTCATGAGCTTGGTCCCCAGTGAAGGAATTACTTTTAATCTGTGGAATTGTAGGTGTAGTATATTCAGTGCAGGCCCACAGAGTGGTAAGTACTGTCTAGAACGAATGGGAAAGGCAGTCCATGGGGAGCTGGCGCTAGTCAGATTTTCGTTTTGTATATGTGTGGTTTTGTGTGTATGTGTGTGTGCATGTGTATTTACAGATGTATGTATATTGGTATGTCTCTGTGTGCGAATACACAAAATGAAATTTTTGTTTATTTGTGTGAAAACCTGGAGGAGGGATATAGCGAATGTCTACGTAGGCTGTGATTATCATCACCTTTTGCTTGTGGGTGCCCTGTCCCTCCTTCAGTTGGTTAAAATGAGCTTCTTGGAGAACGTTTGTGTTCAGAGACAGGATGCGGGGATTGTGAAAGCCTCTCAAAAGTCGCAGCACGTTTAAGTCATGATTCCTGATCTGTTTCAGGTAGAGATTGTAACGCACACTGGACCCCACAGGCGTCTGTGGATGGGCCCCCAGTTCCAGTTCAAAACCATCCATCCCTCAGGCCAGACCACAGTCATATCGTCCAGCTCGTCCGTGTTGCAGTCTCATGGGCCGAGTGATACTCCACAGCCCCTTCTGGATTTTGATACGGATGATCTTGACCTCAACAGTCTCAGGTAAGAAATAAGACCTAGGGGACTCATTTGACTGGGTTAATATATTTGATTGTAATGAGCATTTTAGGCAGTATTTACATGTCCCCGCGGGCGCAGTCTCCCGATGCAGAATACATGTGCTGTAATTTGTGCTTCTTTATTGTCGCTGGGATCGGATGTGAGATCTCATTGCATGCAATCAATGTTTGTGTTTCGGATTCTATTTCCCAACATGTAATGTTCATCACACGTTAAACTCGTCCCACTGTGTGTTGCCTCTCCGACTGCTGACCGCCCAGCATCTCCCTCATCTCTCGGTGTTTCATCTTTCAGCTGCGCGACATCTGTCCCAACCCTGCCGATTCTTCTTTCAAGATTTGAAGAGTTTTTGAATGAGAAAGTGTTGATATAAATTCACATATAGTTTATCTGTCTCTGTGTCATATATATTCTCTGATTCCCACTTGTAAGAATCATAATACAATGTTTACCAAGTATGCTTTTTTTTAATCCTCACTCAATCGAGGACATTTTTCCATTTTTTGTTCAGATAGAGGGAGAGAGAGAGAGAAAGAGAGAGAAACATCGATGTGAAAGGGACACATTGAGTGGCTGCACGACCAACCAGGGCCAGGGACAAACTGCAACTGAGGTACGTGCCCTTAGCGGGAACCAAACCCGGGTCTCTCTGGAACGCAGGCCGACGCTCTAACCGCTGAGCCAAACGGGCCAGGGCACCACGTATGCTTTTCAATGCAGCTGAAAACTTTGACTTTTGCACTTCAGGTTTGCTTAGCAGTTTAACTTGTAATCTCCCTTTCTTAGTCTGAACTTTTTTTTTTTCCAATTTATTTATTTTTGTTACAGATGTTTCTCCTTTCCCCCCCACTGATAGCCCCTTCCTCCATTCTCCCCGCCATGTCCGTAGCATTGTTGTCCATGTCCATTGTTCATGCATACATGCATATAAGTTCTGTGGTTTATCTCTCCTCCCCACCCCCTCTTCTGGGGATCTTTTTTAAAATTGTGGAGAAATGTATCCCAATCTGAAGTTGGAGACATGTTTTTTACTACCTCTTTGTCAACATTGGTAACATATTTTCACGGCCAAGCAAAGGCTGTTGCAGAGGTGGATTAGGCCTAGATGTTTTTTTTCTTTTTATTCTCTCCTGAGCACATTTTTCCATTTTTTGTTCAGATAAAGTGGGAGGGAGAGAGAGAGAAACATCGATGTGAAAGGGACACATTGAGTGGTTGCCACCCGCACGACCCAACCAGGGCTGGGGACAAACTGCAACTGAGGTACGTGCCTTTAGCGGGAACCGAACCCGGGTCTCTCTGGACCGCAAGCTGATGCTCTGTCTGTTGAGCCAAACTGGCCAGGGCAGACCTAGATGTTTTTTCTTTGAGCATAATTCATGTCATTTGAATATGTCTCCTTTAATACCTTTTTTAGTGTTTTAGTTTGCTTCATATTTTATTTCTTCCATACATTATGCTTTTTCCCCTAGAATATTTTCTTCTGTTTTCTAAAAATTTCCCTAAGATGTTAGGCAATAATTGACAATATAGTGGGTGCTAGACCAGTTTTCACTGTTACCAATGGTAAAATATGGTCTAGCTTGGCTTATCTGTCCATTTTCAGGAAGTCATGTTTAGTTATTCCTCAGCTTAGTGACTCAATGCATAGTCATTCATGTTGAGGTCATTTAGTTATTTAGATGTTAATCCTAAGGCATTTGAAGTAGATGACCCAGAAGACTATATTTATTCTCTTTACTTCTCACAGGACCCTATTTTTTGTCTGATGACTGTTACCTGCTGCTTTGATAAGGCCCCGTCCCTTTTCTGTGGAGGACACAGCTCTGTTCCTTTGCTCTGTGCCTCCTTCAGCATCCTTCGTCTTCAGACACAGCTGACTCCTTCAGACAGTGCCGCTTCCGGAAATCCTTCCAGAATTGCCCGTGGGGACCTTTCTTTTTCTTACACAGAAGAGTTCACACTATTTGTTATCTAAACGATTTTAAATTGTTTATGTTTGATTAGAATATAATCTTGTTTATTGGACACATACAAACTTTAGAAACTGTCATGTTGTGTCGCAGGTTTATATATTTCTTTCGATTGCACTTGTGAGTTATATTTAACATTTGAGCACAGAGATCCTTTGCTCAAGACCTTACTTTTTACAGTATGTTTTTATTTTTCTCTCTTCTTATGAAAAACGTCAAGCATATAAACATGTGTGACGTTAAAGAGAATAATAGAAGAAACCCCACGGGTCTGTCACCCAGGTTCAACACGTCAGTTCTTGGCCCCTGTTGTTTCATCTATAGCACCGTGCAGACTCACTCACAACTCTGGAGTGTTTAGAAACTCCACTATAAATTGAATTAGTAATAGGAATCCCACATAAGTTGTTTAGATCAGGAGGGGTCTTTGCTTTGCCTCAACTGACCATATCTAACAGGCTAGCTTCTTTTTCCTCTTGAGAACCAGAAAACATCTTTTGCAGAAATTTCAAATGAACTCTTCCTCTTTTCTCACTGGCCCAAATTTGCTTCGGCCTGCCCATCCCGGAGCGAATTAATCTGCCGTGAGATGATGGGATTACCGTGACAGCTTCGGAGAAGTGCGCTGGGCACACACCACATTGTCCGCGGCAATGGTGCTCAGTGATTGGATGTCAGCATCTCTACCTTCTAGCACTGGGTCAAATGATTGCCCTTCACCTCCCTCCCATTTCTTTCTTTCAGAGAACAAATACACAGACGTTTAAACTGTGCTTTCAATCACTACTCTTTTTCTGTAGTCCGTAGTTGGCATTTCAGACTTCTGTAATCGGTTCCATGGTGCTTACCAACCTCTTCTCTTCCCCCCAGTATCCACGACGAACTCTGTGTTTCAGCCAAATTGTGTTCCTCCTAGCGCCTTGCATTTGTCCTGCGTGGCCACAAATCCAAGGGTTAGTTTGTTCCATCTCTGTGCCTACAGGGTGCTGCTTGCCCCTCTGCATATATACACATCTTATTTCTGTTGTTTTGTTTTGTTAGAACTTACCTGAGGGCATTTTTTCATTGATTTTTTGATAGAGTGGAAAGGGGGGGTAGAAAAACATCAATATGAGAGAGACACATCGATTGGTTGTCTCCTGCACCACCCCAACCTCGGCATGAGATCAAACCTGCAACCCAGGTACGTGCCCTTGACCAGGAATCGAACCCACAACCCTTTGGTCCGAGGGCCGACACTTGAACCACTGAGCCAAACTGGCCAGAGCTACATGTCCTGTTTCTGTATCCAGATGCAGTTCCTATTTCCGCTCCACAAAGTCTTCTCGAGCTGCTGTGACCCCTCATCCATTCCTCTGCTTCCCAATTCTGAGCTTCTGTTACCGTCTTCGTTTGACGTCTTCTTTCGCAGCAGTCATGAATGTCTGTGTGCTGGACCACATATCTGCACATAGACCTTGTCTTTCATGTGTGTTTCTGCTTGTTCCTACAATGACAGGGATACATGTTTAATATTCAGCAAATACTTATTGAACGCTTGGAACGCTCAGATCTTTTAGTCACGCGTATATTTTTATGTTCATAATATTAACCTAATACAGGTAGAAATAGACCCTTGATATTTATAGATTGACCGTTCATTAAGCAACTTGAAGTTGTATGTAGTTATTTGCAGTTTTGCCTGGATTCTAACCGATTCTTCCATGCTAATTGGTAATTTTTTGGACGTAACTCAGGTAGTAGTGATCCTAGCCAAACTGCTGACAGTCACATCCAACAGTTTTCCAATTGTCATAATGTGCTTATTGTCATAATAAAGTAAGTTTCATTGAGGACTTTAAGGTAGTTATGAAAAAACGTGGATCTAGTATTGCTGCTTTTTATAGAGAAGGTATTGCTGTTGCACTGTTTGTGATTTAGAGGATTCTCAAAGCTCTTCATATTTGCCCCTTGGAAAAGCTGAAGGTCTCAGTAGAAAGTATTTTGTTTCCTCTCTCATTCTACTTAATTTATTTCTTTTAATTAACATCAAATTTCCAATCATCTACTTAAAATCTATTCAATAACGTACAAAGGGAAGGAGGGGATCCAGAGTGTAGAAAATGTTTGCTGTGCCTTAGCCTTGCACAGAAGAGGGATTGAAGCTCTCCTGTTTGTCTTCTTTTAGAATGAATGGGTCTTTAATGGATTGGGTTATTCCAGCATTCCTGATTTAAGGTCTGTTGTAGCAAGCGACAGTTTTGATGCCAGTAACATATGTGAATTAAATTAAATTGCATTGCAGGATCCAGCCGGTCCGCTCTGACCCAGTCAGCATGCCAGGGTCATCCCGTCCAGTCTCTGATCGAAGGGGAATTTCCACCGTGATTGATGCTGCCTCAGGTAGAAAACCACCTCCAAAATTTTCATTGGTAGTTCAGTGCATTTTTTATTTCTTTTCTTGCACAGTGTAAAGGATGATAATTTTTTGCCTTTCTCTCTTTGTTTAGTTTTGTTTTAGGATGTGTGTGTCTGCCTGTGTGTGTGTGTGTGTGCGTGTGTGTGCGTGTGCATGTGTGTTTTAAACAACACTATGCCTACATTTATTGCTATACAATGCCATGCATTTAAATATTGTTAAGGTTGGTGAATGATGCGGTGGAGTTGGCACTTGATTAAATGTAATGAGCACAGTATTGAAGGCTACAGGGCTGATGACTGCTTTGCCTTTGATCTCTCAAATGTGGAGAAGCAACCTTGACAGAGAACGTAAATACAATATATGGATTCAATTTACTCAACCTGTTGAGTATCAAAGTGCCTGATCTGTGGAAGGAGAGAGTCCAAATGCTAAGGCTTAAATGGTTCTATTATTGAAAGCATAAAGTTTAGAAATTCATTAACTTAACTCTAGTCTATCTATCACCGTTATTAACTTCCTATCCTTGGAAACAAGCCATGAATATGTATCATTAGTACCTGGAAGTCCATCTCTGCCTTGGTGAGGTGATAGTTGCTACGTTAGTATGGTAAAACTGTTTTCTACCAGTGCTGCCAAATAGAGAAACTGTTTGTAATAATTTTCTCATCTCCAAACGGAGTGATAAAGAAAATAAGGACAGTGATGCTTTCTATTACGGAGCAGCTGCGGAGCATCTGAAGATTGCACGCAGCAGGGTTTCATCAGAAAAGTCCCTTACGAGTAGAATTATTAAATACTTGGCATTAGCAAGGCAGTTGAGTCAGAGAGGATTTTAATCTACAGCAATTTAAAAATCCCCAGAGACTACTGATTTGATTGAGGCTTAAACTGTGAAAGAAAATGGAAACAAACACAAAACTGATTTGTGAAGGTCACTTTTCAAAGACCAAAGCTTCCATTTCTGATTCTGTCTCTGGGTGGATTTTGAATTTTGAAAGCTAATGGCTTTTGTACGTTTTCTTGGCTTTCTGATTTTTGTGTGTCTGTGGATTGCACCTTGTGTCTGATTGAGCTGTCCACATCCGGGGCTGAGCCTGGATTTTTAATGTAGACTCTTCCTTTAGAGGACTCATACTTGTTCCCCGATTTAACTTGGCAGCCACGGCTGTGCCCTGGACACGAGCACAGAGATGTGCCTCTCTGTCCTCGCTTCCCTGCATTGACTGGGACGTTGAGATAGGTGACTTGGTAAATCTTGCCGCTGTCCATCGAAATTACCAGTTATAATCGTGAATCCTGGAAATGATGTATTTTAACCTGAAGTCTTTATTCAAGATTGCAGTAGTAGATTTTGTTGTTTTTGTTTTTGTTTTAAACATTCTTTAATGGTCATATTGTTACTGTTTTAGAGTCAAGTGACTAAGCTGCCAGTCAAATGAAATGCATGTCCCTAAAGCAGTTATTAGGTATGCGTTTAAAAGTCGCCCTGTGCAGCGCTGTCGTCTGAGGTGGTAACGTATTGATCATGCAGCACAAATCTCAGTCTCAGCTCTTCATAAAGTTGTCTCGTGCCGCAGAGAGGAGCGCCGGGGAATATTAGCATCAGGGTTTGTTGAACTCTGTCACAAGAAGAGATTTCAAGTTGATGTTCGAATAAGGAATTAGATTGTTGCCCTTGACTTACATTTCATCAGAGACACCTTGTCGGAGTGTCTTGGGTATTGTTCAGCAGCGCTGAGCTTTTGTCTGGACGCACCAGTCTTTTGAGTAGAGAAAGGGCTTCGTGGTGACTGAGCTCTGTTGCTACTGTTGTGGGGCTGTCCAGAAAGCCACCGTTCCTTGGTGGAAGGAGACAGAGCAACGGAATGTGTGTGCTTTCTCTACCTGTGAGCTACGTTGGACTTTTATGAATAATTCTCTACCTCTCACATGGTTGGGACTCCTTTTGTTCCACACATTTTTTTACTGAGTTAATAATGGTTTTTGGGGGGGAAACTTTATCTACGTAATTTGATAGGACCTCTGATGTAGCAGACTTACTTTTCTATTGATATTTAACATGTTAGAGGCTAAGTGGTTTGGATCCTTTAGGGAAAGTTTATGGGAAAGTTCTGATTTAGATTCTTCTATTAAAAGAGTCTAATTAATTTTTGTAACATCTCCTGAACTAGGAAGCGCTTCCCTGATTATGACCCATGCATTGAAGTCAGCTGCATATTATCAGTTTGCTGTTTTGATGGCCTTTGCTTAGAGATATGACCGGTGTGGCGCCTCCTCTCATGGGACCTCATTGCTTTGTATCACCTCCATGGAATCTGGACAGTGAAACGTGTTATCTGTTTAATTGTTCCTGTGGCACATTCCATAGTGAGCTCTCTGTTTTAGTGACAACTCTTGCTCTTTCTGTCTAACCTAGGGGTGAGGTAATTTTCATACGCTCACTTTTCAGAGGCATAGAATTAAAATATGTATTGTGACATGATTAAATCTTTTGACAACTGTAACAGTTTTCAGAGTGAAAATATTTTATTTAAACGTTGGTTCTGCGTGTGATGTTTTAGATATCTATATAGTAATCTGATGGTAATAGATATCAATATATTAATCTGGTTATACTATTCTGTTGAAACCAAAAGAGATCAGCAGAATTGTGCCACTTTTGCTAAGAAATATTTTTTTCACAATTATTTTAAAAATTTATTTTTGTTACAGATGTTTCTCCTTTTCCCCCCATAATTTGACCCACAATGTCTTGCTCATCTAGTGTATTCTATCTGAGCTTCACTCTTTCGCATAGAGCACATTTCCTGAAACTTGTGTTTTTAAGTTATTAACTGAGGTGACTTAGGCAAAGCATAAATTCTATGCCTTTTGACGCCTCTATACCAGCTTCTTACTGTCTCTATATAAATATGTGTCTTTTAGACTCAGATTTATAACTGCTTTATACATAGGTGTTATTCCCATAACATGTTTCATCTGATCTTTGTGATTCAAAAGACACTATCCTACCTAAGCTTTTGCATTTAGATCATTGTTCGATGTTCCCTTCATGACTGAGGAGAAGACCATTCTGGAAGTAGACTTCATAGGATTTTACCGTTAACACAAGCTACCTAGAACAAAGGGGATTTGAAGGACCTGCTCCATTCTCCTGCGTCAGGCTAATTAACATCGATGTCTCGGAATTGTAGACTGTATTTCTAGTCAAGGCACTGCATGGATTGCTTACCTTTTTCCCCTGTACTTTCCTGGTCATGCCTTTGCTCCCCATTGTTTGTCCTTTAGATATAGCTATCAGTGTCCTGTTGAAACTGTTTCCCACACTGGTGACTGACGTTCTCGTTCCAGACCTTGTAGGCTGCACCCGATGGGTAGCCTGATAACAATTCTGTTTGCTTCGGAGTCGCCCACACAGAGAACCTAGATATCTGAAGTTTGATTGTCCTGGTTCCTAGCTTCACTATGGGAACTGATATTTATTTTACCTAGAAAGAACTCAAAGCAACTGAGATTTAAAGACAGGTTCATTCCTGGTTCTTGTGAAGAGAAGACATCTTTGTCAAACTCTACTGAAGTAAGCGTTGTGTAGAGAAAAGGGGGGCAGCCTCTGAGTACAGCCCTGAGGAAGGTGACGGACGAGCAGTGAGTTCTCACTGTTGAAGCAGGCTTTGTTTGTCACATAGGCGGTCAGCGTGATACATCGAGCGTTCCATAAATAGGGACAAAGGTGCAACAAAAGGTATTTGTTGTTGTTCTGGACTCGAGAGAAATATTATTTTTGTTGTACAACTGAAAGAATCTAAATAATTTTTATGGAATTAATTCGGGAGACAATTTTATAGCACCCAGTTTTCCCAGCATTCGAATAATTTGTTTGCTGAAAGACATGATATACTTGAATATCCAAACTGGTTTGACTGGATTGATTTTATAATGGTTATTTTCCCTGCTCTCTGTTTTTGGCATTCAGTACATGAGACCTTTTGTAAAACAAATGATATTTACTAGAGAAGTATGATAGGGCCGGCGACAAGGAGATTCTTTGAGCAGGCCACGCAGCTGGAGGGACATTCTTACAGAGACAGGCTCCACCTTCCAGACACCCAGAGGGAAGCATGTGCCTAACGATTAGATCTCACTGTGTCTCCTGCTGCCGTTCCAGTCCGCGGCAGACAGACATAGTCACTGTACCTTCAAGCCACCAGAGACACACGAGATCCTGGTGATAAGGAGCAAAAAGATCTTTTAAGAAACACCATTCACTCAGTCTACCACGGTGAGGCCACTGAGCTCCACGACTTGAAAACCGAAGCTGAGTGACGGAAGCCAGGACATTATAACTGTGGCCTTGAACCTTTGCTAACACCTTCAACAAGTTAGGTTTAAGTACCCATTTATTCTTCTCCATCTGTAAAAGGAATTTAAGGTTTCCTATGCAAAAATTTGTTTCACCTTTTTTGGCAGGAATGTGTTTAAAGTGTTGCCTAAAATAATTTCCAGATATAAAGGGCATAAAGTTCTTTAGAAGTACTGAAATATTTCTTTGAATAAATGATGTGGTTTTCATTTAATGGAGTTCCAGATAGTCTTTGTGATTATCAGGTGTCGAAAACTGCCAGCATTCTTGTACCGTGGGTATTCTAGGCCCGTGTGGGATCAGTAAGAGGATTATGGATGAGGGTGGAATTAAAAGAAGGCTTAGTCCTGACCTGTGAACAGCCCCTCAGACAGGGGAAAGGAGGTCAGTAATTTTACTTTGACACGATTCATACTTGAAACAGTAAATATTCAAACTCCCATATTAAGGGTAGCTTTTTTTTTTATTAGAAATGAGGGTGTTTATGCCCTGTTTTAACTCTAACGAACACCTACGGTCTGCATGGAGTCAAAAATATGTTTTAGAGATTAAGACCTTAGAGAAAAGACCTGATGAGCCCATCAGGATAGGGCTGAGCCACATCTCTGTCCTTCTGACTTA